ACTCTATAGAAGGGCTGTATCAAAGCGTAACAGTGCTCAAGGTTTTGCTTGTTCTATCTCAACAAGCACTAAGAATTTATTGGACTGATTCCACTGAACTCTTGTGAAGTGCATGCTGTCTCTAGAAGTATTCCTTAGGGTTGCTGAGAAACCTAAAAGCCATTGTAGAACAGATGTAACATTTATTAGCTTTTCCCTTGAGGAAACATAGAAGAAAGGGAGAAGTATGTGAAAGGAAGATATAATGGCCTATAGACAAAGAAATGGTGATGATGATGATTATAATAACAACAATAATAATAATAGACGATAAAATAACTAAAACATTTATAAAAAGCAACATAAGTCTGAAATTGAAATGGCTGTTTTGACTGCTGTGGAATTCCTCTACTTTATTTCCAAGTTTCCCAGTAGCTGTTTTTAAGCTATTGGTACAACTGGGAAGTCCCTTTGCAGTTATAGTATGAAAGGCTAGAGCAGAAAACCTGCTTCCTTCCTCCTCCCTCTCAGTAACTCCCCCGTTAGATAATTTCAGGGTTGCTAGTTATTTGCTTGTTTCTCATTATGTCAAGTTCTGTAGCATTTCCACAGCAATATGGTAGGTAACTTGTAGCTCTGAAGTTTATCTCAGAAATACTAGGTGTACTGACCAGTGCCACAGTGAGGTGCTGGTTGCAGTTTATCAGGTGAAATGCTGAGCGATGAATAGGATTTGCCCTACAGGAGAGAAGCACATGATGTGCTCTTAGTCATTTTCCCAGAGGAGATAAAATCTGAATGTCCCTCTAGTAAAGCAAACTCAAACTGATTCATTGAATGGGACAAAGAGTTGGCAGTCATCTGACTGCAACTCTGTTTCACTTTCCTATACAACTCTATTTTCTTTCTTTCAGAGGCCTATACAGAAGAATTGAACTCTAAAGCTGTCCTCTAAAGAAATTCATGTGTGCATCTTTCTGATTTGAAGCAAATATTTACAGTTTATTTTGAACTGTCACGTGTCTGTCAGATTATTTCTCTTTCTCTTGTAAAGATGCTGCATTATGACAGGAAGAGCTACTCACGGGGGATTATGTAGTGCCACTTCCTTGTGTAGCTAGGCATGAGGAATTAATTACAGTCTTAATGCTCCAGGGAAGTGACAGATTATGACTGACAGGGAGTTGTGCTGGAGCAGCTCATCTGAAAGAAAGGCAGGAAAGGTTGGCTCCCTTGGCTCCCTTCCCACTGTTAGGCAGTACAGATCTGTGCTTTTTAAATGGCAAGTGGGATGGGAGCCTCCCCATCCCATCCCTGCCCTACAGCAACATTGACCATTTGGTCAATAGCAAGCTGAATCTGAGTCATCAGTGTGGTCTGGAAGCCAAAAGGTCCAGTTGTACCCTGGGATGCATCAAGCATGGCATTGCTAGGTGGTCGAGGGAAGTGATTATCTGACTCTGCTCTGCACTCACCTCTGCCTTACCTTGAGCACTGTGTGCGGTTTTGGGCACCACAATATAAGAAGGACATAAAATTGTCTGAGAACATCCAAAGAAGGAATACAAAGATGGTGAAGTATCTAAAGGGGAAGACGTATGTGGAGTGGCTGAAGTCACCGGGATTGTTCAGCCTAGAGAAAAAGCCTGAGGTGAGGTCTCATAGCAGCCTATAGATTCCTCATGAGGGGAACAGAAGGGTAGACACTGATCTGTTCTCTCTTATGACAGTGACAAGACCTGAGGGAGTGGCATGGAGCTGGGACAGGGAAGGGTCAGACTGGATATTAGGAATAGAGTCTTTACCAAGATGGTGGTCAGGCAATGCAGCAGGATCCTCAGAGAGGTGGTCACTGCACTGAGCCTCCCAGAGTTCAAGAAGCACTCTTAAAAATTTAGTTTATTTTTTTTGGGGGGTAGTTCTGTGTGGAGCCAGGTGTTAGACTTGATGATCATTATGGGTGCCTTCCAACTTAGTATATTCTATGATTCTGTGATTCTGTATTATGCAAAGTGAACACGTTATTTTTCTTACTACATGTAGTACAAAAGAAATGTGTAACCCAAAAGAAATGTGTAACCCAAACTTGGAAGGGATTTTCCCATTTCACACCAAAGCCTTTCAAAAAGTTTCCAAGAGAACTGACTGAAAATGCATACCATAGTATGATTGCCAGCTGCAACTTATTGTATTCACAGCTTTATCAGTACTAATTTTAACCATCCCTGTATAGCTAATATGTTTATTCTTGTCCATCACCTTAATCCAGTAGGTCTTTGTGTCCGATGGACATTTCCACTGAATCCAAGAACTGGTTCAGATAATCTGACTCCTCTTTCTAATGTCACTTTTTTCTACTCATTTGTGGTAGACTGGCAAAGTGCTAGTCCAAAAATAAATTCAGTGTCTCCCCCTAGAAAGATAATGTGAACTTCTCAGAGGTTCTCAAACTTCGCCCCCCCCCACACACACACACAAAAGTTCCACTTGAACTTCAGCCTTTTCAAACTGAATGGATCTCCATTTTTTATCCTCTGACATTACTGGGGGTACTCCAGATATTCTCAAGATATTTTCATCTTTTTTTTTAATCGGGAAATGCAGAATTTGTGTGATTTGCTGTTAAACATCTATATTGATATTGGTAAATGTTTAGTTATGGGTGTTATTCATTCTGAAGATGAAAATTCTCACCAAAACTAGAAAGACCCATCCTAGGGACTGTAACTCAGCAGCAGGCTTTGGTCCAAATCTGAATTAAGCAGACCTGGATCACCATGTGGAGTATCGGAGATGGCCTGGGACAGTCTGTAGGATGCATCACTTGTCCTGGCTAACTGTCTCCTCTCGGTGTGGGGAATGGTATCTGTTTCATCCTTATGAAGAAAGGGAAGGTAATTGAAAGAGCAGACTTTCTCTGGGGACATGAAAATAATTTCCACTGGGTTGAGTCACCAACCTATGGAATCTGATGTTAATAATCTAAAATTGGGAGTTATATAGTTTAAATAGATTAATTCCACAAATTATAAGACTGAGTCTTATTCATTCTCCTTTTGCTTTGCAGCATGCCAATAAATTTTCAAACTTTTCTGTATATATTGACAGAAAATAGAGCAAATTTTCTGTGATTTTGAAATAAGAATTTGTGTATTTGTGTCTGTCTCAGGCTATTATGGTTAGAAGCCTTTTTTATGGCTTCCTGTCACTGTATTCTCACTTCTTTAGAACCATCTGATCATGCAGATAGTACTTCTCTTTCCAGAAATGCCAACATGCTGGGGTTCTCCATTGTTAATACCAAAATATCTCTTTTTTTTTTTTTTCCTGGTCTCACACTGCAAGATTATGTAAACCAAAATCAGAAATACTTCCTGTGTAGCACTTTGCAGCTCAAAAAAGAAATATAAAAGTACTCCTAGTTGCCAAGTATTTCCTAATGATACAAGACTCAATAAAGTGTTCGGCATACTTGTGTTTCTGCTAACATACAAGTCAGTGACATGCAAGTTGCTGCATTGGTCAGACACAGGCTTAGATTCTCAAATGATATGAAAAATGATCAAAAAATAATTCTAAAGGCTTTTTCAAGGACTGATATTGAATGAGCATTTCCTTGGCTTAGTAACTTTAAGTGGAAAAACATACCTGGGGAGAAGGAGAATAGGGGCAATATGCCGGTTTAATGAGACATCAATTGACTCAGTGCTGTGAGGTTACTGAATGCAGTGGAAGTATTAATGAGGGCAATGTCCTTTCCTTTTCTAAGTGATTCAGATTATTTCTTTGAGGATCTTTGGTCTGAAATTTCTACTGCTTTGCAGTGTTTTGCTGTTAACAAGGCAAGATGGAATTCCAGTATTGTGAGAAAAAAAAAAGGCAACTATCATTATTGTCTATTCCTAAGAGCAAAGATCATCTTTCTAAAGCTTTTTAGGCTCCATGAAGCACCACTTTACTATAGTCCAATATTAGACTGCAAGTAATTGAGCTCTTTCAGAAAAAATGTTTAAAGGTGGACTCATGGCAAGTAGTAGGCTGCTCTGAAAAGTATTAGACTATTCCTAAGTTAAGCATTTCTGTTTATTAATTTTTCATTGGTGAGGTAAATTGCAATACTAAAGCTGAACATCAATAACATAAAATAACATAAAATAACATAAAATAAATAATCAGCATAGATCCAGGCCAAGAATGTAAAGCCCCTAAAGAACACTGTTAATTCTTACTTCTTGAGACATGATTTTAAAGACAGAGAGAGATTAAAGAGAAAAACAATTAAAATGATGCTGATGGAGCAGTTGCCTGAAATGGACAACTGAATCTGCAGTTTGCAGAAGGTGAGGAGAGAAATACAAAGGTTTGTAAACTGAAGATTTACAAAATTGGGAAAGCAGTGCATGAGCTGAATTGTTCACCAGATCCCACATACATAATTGGGGGCACTACACAAGATTGCTAGGAGATTGGTCTATAGCAAATCAGAGAAAATACTTAGTGAACTTCTGGAATTTGTTGTCCCAGGAAATTGTGCAGGCAGAGAGTATTAACAGGTTCAAAAAGGGGTTAGACAAATTCATGGATTATGGATCAATTAATTCCTACTAAAAGAAGTTGATAGTGACATATGATCAAACATCTCCAATACAATAAATATTGATGCTGGAAAAGCAGCTTGGAGGGAGTGGCCAGGCTTACATGCTTGTCCTGGTCATCATCTACTTTTGCAGTTCTTTGGAGACAGAATATAGGGCTAGATGGACTGCTGCTTAGACCTAGAATATTTCTTATACTCTAAATATAAGATTAAATATTATTATGTTTTTTGGAGATGCTGTAATGTAGTCTTATACTTAACACCAAGAACTAGTAATAGCTATGTTTAAATGCTAATCTACTATCAGGAAAAGAGTGCATAATATTTACTTCATATTGTAATTGTTTAGCTCAGTAGTAATAATTGTTTGCAGAAACCTCCTAGAAATTGTTGCCTTTGAAAACAAAAAGCAAAAAAGACCCACCTTGAATATTTGTTTAATTCTTCCTCTCCTCTTCCTCTTCCTCCTTTTCCTTGAAATAATCATACAGCTGCTGTAGGAAAAAAAAATCACCATTCACTTCGGCTGATTGCTCATTTAGTGAGTGCTTTATAGGACTGCAGGGCAAGAGAAGAATTTTCTCATATAGGCAACTCAAGGTGGATGTTAGCCCTCTGAATAAACTGAATGAACATGTATATGTTCACATGTTCATGCACACACCTGTACTTAAGTTAAAATGCTTTGTAATATGAAGAGGTGATAGTTTTCCTTCTCTAGTTTTTTTCTGTTTTGGGTAAGATTAGAAAGAGGAGGAAGAACCTGAATCCTAAGTTAATGTTTAGACAGTTGGCTAGAAATTAAAACCAGCTGTTGTGTGCTGTGATCTCTACATTTTTTGTTTGTACTAACTGTCAGGCATGAAGGCACCAACATCATCTAATTAATGAGTTTAATTAGAACTGTGAAGAAATAATGGAATTAGGCACCTGTGACTTTAGTTATATATATATAAAAATAAATTAGAGATACTTTTTAAAAAATTGAAAAGAAAAATTAATGGCATTTTTTCAGTCCTTTTATTCAGTAATTTATGTGTCTACTACTTGAAATTATTTTAGGGATCTCTTTGGAGTAACATGTGTATCAGATGTAAATATATTGGTAGACTTTCATTTCAAGCAAAACTCCTCTTTTATCCAACTTTCCGTGCTTGAACTTGTTAATAAACTTCTCAAATAGACACAGTTTGAATTCAGTTTGGATGAGTCTTGAATACCCTTCAAGACTTCCATCTGTGGAAGGCCATAAGATTTTATTCTAGACCAAAATTACCTGGGATGTGACACTGCAGTGAGGTTTCAGGACAGGGAGAGAAAATATGATGCCTCACTGTTCCGTGGGTAAACCCAGGTAAACACCTGTGTGCATGGTGAACAAGGTGTGTGTACCAGGATCCAGATAACTGTTATTATCTGACTTTGGGTTATTGACGAGTGACAGTGGGATCCTTTTTGGGAGATTTGGAGGCTCCCTACCCAAGGACAGGTAAGACGTGCGGGCAAGGAAAGTTATTCAGCCATATGCTCCATGGGCATTGTTGAGAACTCTAGGTACCGTCAAGTGTCAGTAGGGGTATGTGGATCCAGGTCAGATAGCATGGTGAGCTGACGACGAGATAGGTGTAGCCAGTGAATGAGAATTAAATGTGTTGTTTTGTAATATTTAGTTCAGCAACAACAGTATATTATCAGCTCATGTTTGTTAGGGACAGGCAGGAACCCATTTCTGACTACTTCAATTTTCTGTTAACCTACTGATCAGGATATATATTTTTTAATTCAGTTAATGTAGCTGTGACGGAGAAGACATTAAACAGTTAATGTTTTATAAAAGAAATCTATATAATTCACTGGACATTTCCCAATTTAAAAAAAAAAAAAACAACAAAAACGAAAACAACAACAACAAAAAACCTCTCTACAATCACATAAATATATAATGCTAAACAGAAAAAAATAACTGAAATATTTTACAAACCAAAATGCCTATTTTGAGAAGTGCTCTATGATAAAGGCTCCTGAAAGTGACATTCTGTATCTTTTGAAAGTTTATTCTTGGAATTATTTAAATGCTCCTTCAGGAAAGTCTGTATTACAACTGCTTTATTATATTTGTTTTTCTTTTGCATAATGATGTGTACTACTTTCACCATTTGTCAAGACATTTCAAGAGTAGTAATTCATACTATGGTGTACACTAATAATGCTGGAAAAAAATCACACCTGGAAGTTTCTTTTAAAAATATTTGTAGGCAGTTGAGGATCATATTATAGGTCATTTTAAATTTAAACATGATTTGAAATAATGTTTCCATTATTTCAATAATCCAAGAAATCCAAGGTTGAATTTCATTGTATGTAAGAGATGGGCAAACCTCAAAGAATGAAGTCTTTCAAAACTGTGATTTCAAAATTAAGTCTGAAATAGAATCACCAGTTCAAAAGTAGCTGTTTTCTTCAGTCTGATCGCTCTATGTGTTCATATCTCTTAACAGAAGCCATATGAAACATATTGTTTTTGTTTTAGGAGGAACCTTTTGAGATTAAGTACAGGCACATCCAACCTTTTTATGACTATAGCTATTGTTGCATGGGAAAGCAAACCATGCTTTATATGCAATAAACAAAACCAACCAATTCCTTCTCTCATTTAACTATTATTATTATTATTATTAATTATTTTGAGAAAGCTTGTAATGAATGGTATTTGCAATTTAAATTGTTCTCAGTTCTGCATTACATCTCCCAAATTCTGGTGTCATATTGCATTTAAAAAGGCCATTCTGATGGCATAACTCTATTTCCTTGAGCTTACATCAATTATTCCCGATTTTTCTCCACATGAAATATCTGTCTGATCAGTCTGATTTCATTATTACTATTACATCTTTATTACTATTTATTATTACTATTAAATATTTTTCCTAAATATTTGAAATAAAATAATGGTAATAGTTGGGAATTTGAATTCATAACTTTTATAATTGAAAACCACATTAATTAAATATCACTATCACAGACATTTTTGTTGTTTGCTTTTTTTTTGTTTGTTTTGTTTTGTTTTGTTTTGTTTTAATGGCTTTACTTGCCAGCTTCTTAATTATCTGTTTGATAGGAGTCTCCTTTAAAAATGAAAACATACTTTTAAAGGAAAAGTCTTTCTTTTCCTTTCACTTTCTTTTTTTACTTTTCCCTGACTTTAACAGAAGGAAGTATGTAAAGTTTCAGGCCTTCATTGTACAGAGAATAACATCTTTCCAGTTTCCATAAATAATAAAAATGCCTCTTGAAAGCACTTATTAAGTTTCCACATTTTGTCTGTGCTGCCTAAAGCAGATTAGGAAATTTTAATACCTTTAGTTAGTGTTAAGCAATAATGAAGGTAGAACAATTAGCTTCTGTATGAGAGGTGTGTGGGTGGGGAATTATTTTGTACGTTTGGAGCTAGGCAGAGATATTGCCCAATTCTTTTAGCAGTCACAGGTCTACATGACTCTGATTCTGAGACAGTTAGAATTCAACAGTTGATTTTATAAGGTTAAAAATAAAACAAAAAACACCCAGCAAATGGAGTATTGTTCTAAGTGATGTGTTAAAACTTTTTGCACTTGCAAATGTCATTCTGACACATACAACTCTGCACAATCTCTTTAATAACTAAACTGTACGCAGTCATAGATCTTTTTCTCAGTCTTGAGTAAGTTATTTTAGTCTTTGCAGAGAAGACAATATTAAAAAAATATGTTTTAAATGGCCCCTTTTTACCACCAAGCAAAGTATGTTTTCATTCTTGGCAGAACTGGTTAGACTGTGCTGAATATATATGGTGCTCCAACAGTACTTTGTTTAGCATGGCTACCTACTTCACACTCTGTGGGATGAGTAAAACTGGATCATCTGAATCTCAGCTAACTGCAGACTTCTTGGTGCCACTCCTGCCCCATAAAGAGGGCATATATATATATAGATATAGATATATTATATATCTTATTATATAATATAATTATATATATATATATTATTATGTATTATATTATATACCTTGGTACCCTAGACATGGACAGAAGTGCCAGGTACCTGGACACCAAAATAGATGTGGTCAAAAGCACAACTAAAGTCTTATAAAGTCCAAGAGGAGTTTAACCCCCCTTCTTATTGCTACAGAATGCTGTAATCACCAAGCTGCAAGCATGTTCATGGTGACTCTGTGCCCTTTGCCCTTCCTTCATGAGCTGAGTTGAGGATTGAAAGAGGTAGTTGAAGTTTAATTGAAAGCAACAGAGCAGGCAAAAAAAAAAAAAGAAAAGAAAAAAGAAAGAGAGAGAGAGATGAAAGACCTGTGATCACCCCAGAGGGTTTGGTTGTCTTAATGCAGATACTGTGTTAGAGAATCAAGAGAATCAAGATACCCTTGTTGCTTACATCAAGAGTCTGGAGTGCTAGGTTGGTACAAAAAGTCTTTTTCTTCTTGACTGCATAATTTTCCATGGCTGCATGATGATGTGGCCTCAAAAGTTCAGTTTAATATTTCTCTTCATCCTCTCCTTTCTACCTAATATTTGGGGTTCAACTTGCCTTAAGGTTAGGAGGATACAGAAATCAGGATGTAAGAGGTTTAACCTGTAACCCATTAACATCTATCAGTGACAAAGTGGCAGTGCTGCTATGACTACCTCTATGAGCTCTTTCTGAAAAAATAAATAAAATACAGTGAGCTTGCCTCCATTCAGCATTTCTTCAGAAGATGAGTAGGCCAACAGGATTCTCTATGGTGATAGAAACCATAATTTTGCCCCTAGGATACAAAGAATTTTCAAACTTTTTTTTTCCTGTCCTTCCCTCCTCCCTCTTGCAGGAGTGAGTGTAAGATGCACATTTGTTGGGAGGCTTATGTGGCCAGTGGTGCCCAACCTGAGGCTGAGAAACACACAGGGTAACTGAAGGGTAGGTTACAGCCTCTCTCTTGACAGTTTTGGTGGCAGAAGAAATGTCAGATGAACTGCTAGGTTAGAGGACTAGAGGCTGAGGAGAAAAAGAGTGAGTTTAAGCAAAAAAAAAAAATGTTTTGTAGAGAGCTTTATTTAAAAATTGCAGATTCTATAGGCTGGAGGTTAACTGTTGAGTTGGCTTTTGAGTTCCATAAATTTTAATCTCAAAAAAAGTTAGATATTCTCTTCTCTTACGTAGGCCTAGACTTACTGAGAGGAAAACCTACCCATCTATGACCTTAAGAGGGAAAAGTCATTATACTCCTGCAGTAGGTTATTAAGTCCAAACCAATCTTGGTCTTATTTTGCAAGAAAAAAATAAAATTTGCAGTACTGTAAACAACAGTCTTAAGCTCTTTCAGAGTAGTCTAAAGCTAAAATTTTTCTCATCAATTTTCCCAATTAATTCATTATTAATAAAAAGATAACTGGGTGCAAGAATTAATCTTTTTGATAGCAGACCTTCTTTGGCCTTCATTTATCCTGTTCTTGCAGGTATAAAATTTCCAAATTGACAACGATAAAACAATAATAGGGTTTGGTAATTTTACTTAAATGACCTGTAATAACTAGTAAGTTTTTACCTTGGTAAAACTATGAAGCAATGATAATGCATTTAAATGACTCCCATCTAATATCCCATCTATCTAATATAAGATATTATATTGCTAGTAGATTGTAATGATATTAACAAAAAACTGGCATGTTAATTTTTAATATAACTTGGTAGAGAAATGTGAGTAGATAATGATGAGTACATTCATATGGTTAA